CTACGCAACCCAAGGTCAAACTGATGTGATCAGTAAATACATCTTTTTAAACGCCACAACTTTTATCTGAAACATTTTTTTCTAAAATGCTTAGTTTTCGAGATATTTCACCGGTCCGGGACTTTTTGAACACCCTGTATATAGAAAGTCGGAATTTAATAAAATTTACTTAATATTTATTCTCAGAAAACATACTAATTTTAGAATTTTCCAAAAAATTTAGGTTCATCCTCCAGCAAATTTAACATAGAATTCTTAAATTTTCTTATCCTACTTATTTCAGATTTTTACACGAGCTTGTCCACAAGTTGGAGATGTCTAGTAACACCGTGTTCAGCACAATCCTGGGCGGAATTTCAAATTTTTAAAAATGTTATTTTTGTACTTAAAACAATGATAAATAGTGTGTGGATGAAAGGCTATATCGATATCATTATTCATTTCTTTGAAAAAAAATTCAAAAAAGCCTCCCATTTTTCAGTAAACTGTAAACTGGAATCTTCCCTTAATAAAGAATAATCTGAAATTCATTAACAAGGTCGGTCACTGTTTATTTGTATGCTACGAGATTCTCTCCGTAGCAAATTTCCAACCTATCGAGTGTAATTCGGGCGAACGGCTTCCACGACGATTCAGTCCGATTACCATTAATCTCTCTGTCATTTACAGTTTTCGACTACACGATGGCCAGCAGCAGATTACCGAGCCGAAAATCATTTATCTGTCGACTCTGCGGTAAGAGCTACGTCTGGAGAGTCTCCTTGTGTCGGCATTTGCGAGAGGAGTGCGGCAAGGAACCGCAGCACAGATGCGACTATTGCGGAAAAATGTTTAAACAACGCAGCAGTTTCCAGAGACACAAAAACAATCAGCACAGATAGCGCTCGGAGTCTAAAGACGTGGCGAGCTACATGATGACGAAGTGCAATAGATTGGCTGAATCGAAAGCAGTTTGAAGATCGAAAACTAACGTGAAACTGGTGATATAGAAACGTTACGAAGAAAGCACTTTCTCCTTATTGATTTTCGAAGTGACAGAGGCGAGGAGAAGCAAGAAGGATGAAAGTGTACAGTGTTTTAAACATAGGAAGAAAAGCACACATGTGTGTACGTCACGTATTCATCTGCATCGGAAATAAAGGACAAAAAGAAGAAGAAAAAGAAGGATGTGCTTACTACATATCTATGTGCCAGTAGATATTTGAATAACAACTCGAACATTTAAAATTCTTATTTTCGCTCTTGTAGATTTTTGTTTTCTTGATTGTTGTATTATTTTGCTAAGACAATTACCCTTGTCGTGTCTCTTCACTTGTTGCCAGCTTCTTGAAACTTGTCGTCACACAGAAGACTCCCAACGGTGATCCGTTCATTTTTCAGAAACTAAACTTTTGTCTCCAGTATCCCTCATATACTTTGTCAAGCCATAGAAAGTTAATGATGAGTTTATCTGTCTGTAAATTAACCCAAGTGCGCCACTTGTGAGAAGCAGCTATCATATGTCACGACCTAGAAGATCGACTTGGAAGACGTTACAAAATTATCTTTGCCAGTGAATGTAAGAATCGTCGCTTGTTAATTGACGTCCTTATTTCTCCACACTTCATGCTGAAAAAATGGCTCCCAAAGCTTTAATCATAAAGCCACAGATTTTGCAATTCACGATACAACCATCAGGGAATCACGACGCCGCGTTTCGAAAAAAGAAAAAGCTCTGAAGCTTTCGTGAAACCTAGAAGAGTTCCTCCCGCGTTCTTCTCAGCTGCACTTTGTCGTGCATCTTCACTAGATAAAGCTAGTTTCCTTACGTATCTTTTACTAACTTACCGCTTTCAGTGTACTTTACGTTGCAGACGGGGACACGGCGGCATCATCGCGCGTCTTAATTCTACTACGCTCGTGGAAGATCCTACATGTGAAGCGAGTACAGCGAGAAGAGCTTGCGGTAAATTTGCTACGTCTGCAAGAAGAACATGCGGAGACTTTTGACCCGGCTTCGTAACGTAAATTCCAATCCTATCTCCTCTAACAAGTAAACCTACCCAAAAGTTACACTCTAATTTCTTTCTAATTTGACACAAATGTAAAAGTAAAAAATATTTAGATCATATTTTTTTCTTTTTGGCCCACTTTGAGTTTTATGGGCAGTTTATAGCCTTTTAATGTTCTCACTCCTATTATCAAGTGCAACAAAAACATATAAGAAATAAAATTGAATTTTATTTTTTATTTACTGATTATAAATATGAAGTCAAATGTGTAAAATTATATAAATAATAAAATGTTTAAACAAAACATGTAAAATGCTGAAAAAAATTATTTATACAAATAATTTCTCGGTTTGGCAGAGATTCGAACCATTTTTGACTAATTTAGCACAGATTTAAAATATTTTGGTTGGAATCTTGGCTAAAGAAATTTAGAATGGTTCGTGTCTCAGCTATGCCGATTTTGTTAAAATTATTTAACTATATCTTGTATTCAATTTTATTTTTTATGCATTTCTGTTATATTTGTTGATGATAGGAGTGAGAACATTAAAAAGCTATAAACTGCCCGTGAAACTCAAAGTAGGCCAAAATGAAAAAATATAACCTAAATATTTTTTGTACTTCTAATATAATTTGTGCCAAATTAGAAAGAAATCGAAATATACTTTTTCAGTAGGTTTATTTATAAGAACCACACGGAAAAAAGACGGTTGATTTAATCTGGCAATGAACGAGCCGAACACATTTTGGTTGAAGAAAATAGAATTTCTGATTCTACATTATAAATTCGGTTCTAAGAATAAAAAATTTTGTTTTCTTGAAACAAAACGCGTTTGGTTCGTTTATTGAAGTGTTGTGTATTAATCGATTAAAATTTTTTTTGCTGAAATAACTGACAAATTAATAATTCAGATTAATTAATCGTCATATGTAAATTCATAAATAATTTCGTCGACTGACGAAATAGATTATTAATCAAACTTTGTAATAATTGTTCATACACACAGAAAAAAATTTTTTGGTTGTATTAAAATGAAGTTTGTGGTTTTAATCAGCAAATCAATCAAAAAGTGCATGTTAATACAACCAAACTTTTTTCTCCGTGTACTCTGATTGATAATTCATTTCATCAATCGATGAAATTATTTGTGATCATATGCATGACGATTGATTAATTTTGATTATCAATTTACTTACTATTTTAGTCAAGGACAATTTTCACTTATCAATACTCAACACTGCCCATTGCCAGGTGAATTCAAACAAACTTTTCCCTCCGTGCATAACACCATCACCCTTCACAGTGATAAAAAATACTTGAAAATTTATTTGTACAATACAAAGTTAATTTTTTTACAAAATTTATTAAAATAAAATTGATTTTTGCGAAAATAAACTTTATATCCCACAAATAAATTTGCAAGTATTTTTGTCTCAGTACAATCCCAAAGTCGCCTCTCGATCGAGTCGTACAAATGAGTCAAGCTTGAATTCTCAAATAACTGGTCACAGACCCGTTTCACGAGAATCGCCTGCACGATGCGTTCTCGCGTTTTCCTTCCATTCTATAGGAAGAATTTGCTTGGGGAAGAATTGCGAAATAAAGAATTTTTAAATAAAGAGATGAACATACAGTGTCTGCCAGTCACGAAGAGCCGCTTGAAGATTTTCTAGCAACATTGCAAGATTCTATCAAGGCTTGCGAACGTTCGTCGGATTATTAGTCATATTCGTTTGAATTAATAGCAACGAGACAATACATTCCACGTACTGTTTCGTTGCTATCAATTCAAACTACACTCCAGGCAGTATATGCACGATCAAAGTACCCGCCATTGTCACTCATAACCGTACGTCGCCTTTAAATTGATTCTCCGATTCTGTGAGGGAAACAGCTCATCTTGTGTACCAATCATCGACGATCCGACCGATTTTTGCAAGCTCTTAACCATGAAAGATATTATCGATACTAATCAGCCAATCGTATTCCAATGTTGAAATACCTCTGTCTCAAAGCGACCTTTTTGCATTCATCTCGTAGTATACTAGAGGATTAACAGTACTAACGGACTAAAGACCTCACACGCAGACTAGCTCATCATGTAGACACGCACATAAGCGATAGAGGCAAAACAATCTGTCGCAGGCTTCAGATTCGACGATCATCCGTGCTTTTAAAAGCTCACGCACACTTCTGTCATTGTCGTCTCATCGAGACGAGGTCCAATAATCGAGTGCTTTCATCCTCTACATTCTAGGTAGACACTCGCAGAAGAGACGTCTATTGCCGCCAAGCCAGGACTGCCTGCCGAAACCGTTCGCTTGCCACAAGTGCGACAAAACCTACAAGAACAAGGGCAGCCTACAGCGTCACTTGAACGACGAGTGCCACAAGCCACCGCAGTACATCTGCGAGATGTGCCGTCGAGGCTTCAAGCAGAAAGCCAACTTCAAGCGACACGCCTTCACCATCCACGGCATATCCTCTTTTGTGGACTCCCGTCCTCGGGAGAATCGCGTCACAATACGGCTCAAGTCACAGAATCCACAGTGAAGAACGAGCGTTCCATACGCCAGCCACGCAAGAACAACGATCGAGCAATTTCGATCTCGACGGGATTTTGCACGCCTCTCAAAACACATCTGAGTAACCATGAAGCTTAATGTCGGACGACAGATAGTTTCTGATGTTTGACGATACAAATTATTGTGTTGACTGCTAGGTATACAGCAAGAGTCCATTAATTACAAATCAAGTTCGGAAGTTAACGTCTCTCACGGTTCGTCACTTGAATCATATAGACTAGCTGGACAGAACGCGAAGAATATATCGTATCCTCTTCTTGGAGTGAAATCTCATTCAAAACAAAGAAAGCGCAGTACTTTCGAGGTGATAGTGACAATACTACCACTCGAAGTCGCAAAATGAATGTTTCACCCAAGCCTAGAGTGAATTCTCATGTTCTCCATGTCAGTGAATATTCCAATCGATTAGAGTAAATATGTTCCTACAACGGTGAAGCGCACCAAATTCACTCCACAATTTCGAGCGAAGATATTCACTCGATGATTCAGAGTAGGAGAGTTTATTCTATATGAGTAAAATATTACACTCTCACACACACACACAGATTCGAATAATTCAGTGATCACTCTGCTTCTCAAATGAAAGCTTTATTTCAAGAAATTTAGAGAATATTGTTCGCCTGATCGGCTGGCTTGATGGATTACTGCGATCTAAGTTGATTCTCCATGTTTCATCCACTGGCAGGTGTCTCAGCGAACTCTGTGAGAGACGATAACTTGCGAACCTGGTCGAAGATCGTTTCAAAGATATATCATGCGTTAGATAGCGGATTGATTAGGATTTAAACGAGTTCCTATATTAGGAAGATTGCGTGTTTTGTCACTTGAAAAGTTATTCGAGGAGTGTAATAACGTGAATTATCGTAAACCATACTTGATAGTAAGATCGCAATATGAATATGTATAGCTGACATTTCTTGCGATTTACTTTGGTATATGTGTGTATGTTATGTGCTGTTGAATTTGCTAAAACCTAATTGATAGTTTGTCACATTCGTGCTAGATCGACAGTTGAAGAAGATCAATACTCTCCAAGGAAGAGAACAAGAGAGATTTAAACTCTTGGTGGCAACACAGCAGTGGAAGAGCAAGAAGGAGAAGAAGAAGTCAAAATTCGATTCTCGTTCCTAGTCGAATCGGACGGACGCATATAGCGATCGACTTTCTCTTTTTCTACCGGGAAGCAATTGTAATAACCGTTCTTATTAATCGTTACGAAAAATTATTCCATAAATGTTCAATTTGTGTTCAGCATTCGTGTCGCTTCGTTTAAACGCGAGCGCGAATATATTTATGTGTGTGACGTGTATGTACGAAAGCCGCGAAACGTGAAAAATAATCTCAGGCGTAAAAATATTGAACAACATATGATGAGAAGATGCAAAGCGAATGAAATTTACGGTAAAAATATTATTTAAGAGATTGTATCATTAATGATAACAGGGTCGGATTTAGTCGTTTTCGTCGCTTATAGACACATGATTGGTGTCTGTAAATCAGGACTTTTAAGAGTACACGAAATTAAAAATTATCCTAGCTCTAATTTATTAAGTAATGTTCACATAACATGACAAATGTAGATAAAAAAAAAATATATATTTTTTTATCTACGTGTATCATATTATGTATTAAAGAGAGAGAGAGATTAGAATAATTTTTAATTATTTTTAATATATATATTAAAATTTTTAGTATACATCTATAAAATATATATATGCACATATATTTTTGGCGATATATATGTGTATATATACACACATGTATATCGCCAAAGATTGTAAGAATTAATCGTAAAATATTAGATAAATTTACAAATTAATTGAAAATGTAATTTGACAAAATTGTGATATTCAAATTCTTGTGATAAAATTGTATTACACATTACGTAAGTAACGTCTTACTCATGACGTCGCGGTTTGTTTTTATTGTAGGAAATTTGTATTCACTAGTAATATAATCTATTAGATTATTATTCTTTATTTTATATATTCTATATTTTAGTCTATATTTTTTATCACGTAACACTATCGATAAGAAAATATCGAGTTTATATCAAATGTATATAAAAATTATCTTCATTTTAAAAATTTTTTTGAATATTGCTCTCTTCTTGTTGATATAATTCATACTACTTCTAATTGCTCGTGATACCAAACGAATTATACAATTAAAGGAAACAATAAAAATTACTAAAGAAATAGATAATAATTTTTACACATGATGTCTGACATTAATCGTATCAACTTTAATTCGTCAATTGTCTTTAATTAATACCTCAATAATTATCGTTGTTGTTTGCAAAATGGCACACTTTTTCAGTTTTTCATTCGCGCACGAGCGTTGGTAATTGTCAAACATCACATATATGACACGTGTTGCATGAAACACTTTGTATATTAGAAAGAAACATTCTTCTTTGCTCCTTCTTCTCTCGCTCTCAAAATTTGCCGCTCGTAGGTGCGTGCCTATAATGTCTATTGGTAAAATCCGACCCTGATTGGAAGCTATAATTTATGAAGACTGCGACGAAGAGATATTGGTCATTCTCTTCGTGAATGACTGCGACGGTTAAAAAAATTACTTAGGGACTGCGAAAATTCTTTAATATAATTCGTCAAGGCTGAAATTACGTCGAAATGAAGAGTATATCGATGATGATGATAAAAGTAAATAAGATTACGTACGAGTATGACTGCGGGGAAAATATGACTGCAAGAATCGACACCTTCCGCGACAAAAAGAAGGAGAAAGCTTTCAAGCGTGGAGGAAAAACAGTGATTTGTCAGGATTAACTTTGATCTTCCGTCGAGATCGAAAGCGCTTCATGGGATTCACTGGTTTTCTCCTTCAATGCTGTTACTTTTCATTAGTTTTTTAAAATAGTTACTCAGCATTTATCGTTTGTTTTTTCTTCTCTCTCGCTACGTAAGAAACATTAGTTTAATCATTGATTACATATATAGTTGCATAGCAATTGTAATCTCAATGGTAGAAGGTTTTACAATTGAGCTATCACTTAATGCTATTAAAATACACTGTTATAAGGATATTATAGGGAGCCAGAATGTTGTGAATGTATGATCGATATAGTGCTACACCGAAGATGAAAATGGGGGAAATTGTAATCGAGCTGAGGTCATAGGGAGAATCGCGGCGTATCGTTGAAAGATTTCTTTCGCTGAATTCGATTTTGTCGACAAAAAAAGCAAAAATTCTGTGATAAGTTGACTAATTCTCTCGTATATTCGGACGTTAAACGGACATTCACCGAGGCCTTAGTTATATGTGACCCCGTTTATGTGGCGCGTTTTATTGTAGTTTATTATAATTTTGTTATAATTACTATATATATTGCGCGACATATACATAATAAAATTATAATTAATATGCATGGTTGAATATGATGTTACACGACCTCTCTTACTAGTCACGTTGTCTTCGAAATAAGAATAGCTCGTGTGGTAGCAGCTACTTCGCTGGAAGATCGAAAATATTACTTGAAGACCTGAAAGTTTATACTATGCCGGAGAAAGAGAAAGAAGGAAGAGAAAGAGAGACATGTACAAACAACGCATTCACAGAAGGATATCGAGAACCTAACATTCGCAAATTTGCACAGTTGTCACAATTATACATAATACAATTATATTCCCGACATTCATCCACGTTCTTACGGATTCATCGACCGGTATAAAGTAAAGTGTGTAAAGATTTTCTGAGCTTGCCGCACACAAACCTATTCTATCTTTCTGCGAACTGTCAAGATTAACCATCTGTCAGCCACGAGTATCACTTCTCTTGAGTTTGAACGATCCGTCTTATTTGGTTTCGCTTTTTTTGAATGGAACCTAAGCACCTACCGAAGATAAAGAGTCGGGAACACACAGCAGTTGATTCACGAGAATGACGCATCGCGAAGACGAAATTCTCCGCATCGGGTGCGGACTAATCATACTACGAATTTTGCTTTCAGGTCGAACCATATTTCAGAAGCCGTATCCGTGCTTGCAGTGCAACAGATTCTACACCAACAAGAGCACCTTGAACCGTCATCTACGGGAGGAGTGCCAGAAGGAACCGCAGCACATACTACTGTGTCCAAAAAGTAAGGTGACATTGCATTTATTTCGAAAATTCTTTATTTATTCTTGCAAATCAATTTCGTCCCCTTCAAAGTAATCCCCCCCTGATATAATACACTTATTCCAACGGATTTTCCAATCTTCGAAACAGTTGTAATAATCGATTTCAGGAATGGCCTTTAGCTCCTTCTTCGCAGCGGCTTGAATCTCTTCTATCGACTCGAAACGGTGTCCCCGGAGCCAGAAGTCGCATGGAGCCAAATCAGGTGAATACGGTGGTTGTGGAACGATATTAGTCGAGTTTTTGGCTAAAAAATCACGAATAATCAGCGCAGTGTGTGACGGTGCATTATCGTCACACAGTTAGCCGCTGCGAAGAAGGAGCTAAAGGCCATTCCTGAAATCGATTATTACAACTGTTTCGAAGATTGGAAAATCCGTTGGAATAAGTGTATTATATCAGGGGGGGATTACTTTGAAGGGGACGAAATTGATTTGCAAGAATAAATAAAGAATTTTCGAAATAAATGCAATGTCACCTTACTTTTTGGACACAGTAGTATGCCTTTACTGCCAAAAGGCGTTCCATCAGCGGTCCAACTTTCGGCGACACATGTGGACGCTACATTGTCTGTGATTTCCTGATTTTGGAAACCAACGATCCACGGATCGTCGACGGTCGACGACTGGCATGACTAATTCTCAGTCACTGCCATAATTGAATTCTCGCTTAAGAATATGACTTATATATACTTGGCTTGTATTTTTTTTAGACCCGAAATCTTCACGAGAAGCGACGTTTTTATTAAGTTTCTCGCATGTCGTTGACAACTTGGATAAATGTGAAAATGGTTTCGAGAATGTCTTCGCCGTTTGTTTGAACGCCGTTCAATCTTTGTTCAAATTGTTTAGTATAACTCATCAAGGCTGAAATTACGTCGAAACGAAGAGTATATCGATAATTACGCACTGAAGAATAAATAAGATTACGCACGAATATGACTGCAAACTCGACACCATCCGCGAAAAAAAAGAAGAAGAAGAAAGGAGCTTTCAAGTAGAAAAGAAAACAGTGATTTTTTAGGACTAACCTTCAACTTCTGTTGAGACTGAAAGCGACACGCTTCGTGGAATTCACTGTTTTTCTCTTCAGTGCAATTACATTTGATCTGTTTTTACTCAGCATTTGTCCTTTGCTTTTTTTCTTCTCACGCTACGTAATACATTAGTTTATCTGTCATTGATTACATATATGGTTACATAGTAAGTGTATTGTAATCTCTATAGTAGAAAGTTTTACAATTGAGCTATCACTTAATGCTGTTAGGACATACATACCGTTATAAAAATACTATAGAAGGCCAGAATGTTGAATGTACAATCAACTATTTATCAACACAGTACTACACCGAAGATGAAGATGGAGGAAATTGTAATTGAGCTGAAGTGATTGGAGAAATCGCGGTGTTGAAAAATTCCTTTCGCTAAATTCAGTTTTTGGCAAGAAAAAGCAAAAATTCTGTGATAAGTTGACTAATTCTCTTGTATACTTGGACGCTTGGACTACTTGTATACTTAGACGTTAAATGCATATTCACCGAAGTCTTAGTTATATGTGACTCCGTTTACGGTGCGTTTTACTGTAGCTTATTATAATTTTATTATAATTTTTATGTATATTGCGCGACATATATATCATAAAATTATAATTAATATACATAGTTGAATCTAATTTCACGCTCCCTCCTACTAGTCATGGCGTCTTCGAAAAAAAAGAATAGCTCGTGTGACAGGAGCTACTTCGCTCGAAAACACGATCGAAGACATCATTCGAAGATCTGGGAAATCACCGTGCCGAAGAAAGAGAGAGAAAGAAAAAATATAGAGAGAAACGAATACAAAATAATGCATCTATAGAAGGATATCGAGAACCTGCGATAATCTAACATTCGCAAATTTGCACCATATGCGCAGCGGTCACAATTACATAAATACTATCGGCCTTCACCGTCAAATCAATCGTACTCTCGACATTCATCCACGTTTTTACGGATTCACCGAACCGTATAAAGCAAAATGTGTAAGAATTTACCGAGCTTGCCGCACACGAACATGTTCTACCTCTCTGTGAATTTAAAAAATTAAATATTTATCGAATTTCTATTTATCAGTCACGAGCGTCACTTCTCTTGAGAGTTTGAATTATCCGTCTTATCTTTCGTTTCCGTTTTTCTTGAGTTTTTCTTAGACCTATTACGCCTATTACGCCTACCGAAGACAAAAAGTAAAGAGTCGGGAACACACAGCAGCCGATTCGCGGGAATGACATATCGTGAAGATGAAATTCTCGCCGAATGTCGCGCCGGATGCGCATTAATCATGCTACGAATTTTGCTTTCAGGTCAGACCAAGAGGCCGCGACCGAGGAGCATGCTCGCATGCATATTCCCGAAGCCGTATCGCTGCTCGCAGTGTGACAAAACCTACGCCAACAAGGGTACCTTGAACCGTCACTTGCAGAAGGAGTGCCAGAAGGAGCCGCAGTACATATGCGAACACTGCCAATACGCATCCCATCAGTACTGCAACTTGAAGCGACACATACGGACACGTCACCAATATACTCTGTGACTTCGCAATCTTGGAAACAATCGATTCATGGATCGCCGACGGTGTCACGTGACGACTGCACGATCCCGACTAATTTTTAATCATTGACCTGACCGAATTTTGGTTTGCGAACATGACATATCTTTTTTTATGTTTCTTTAGGCCCGAGGTCTACGAGAAGCGACGTTTTTATTAAGATTTTCTCGTGCTGTTGACAACTTGGATAAATATGATGATATCGAGAATGTCTACGACGTTTGAACGCCATTTCTATGTTTATTGAAATGACTGAACTAGTGTTCTCGAATCACGGCTGACTGACACACGCCCGACATCAAGGGAAGAATTGTTGAAATTTTTATATTGCTTTGTAAGAAAGCATGATATCTGTTGTTCATTATTTTTCGATGATTAGACGAGATAAGACGATTTTTTAATATTGTTAACTAGTGATTTTAGTAATAATTGGCACAGTAATTTTTACACTTCTAAAATGGAGAAGTTATCAAGGATGTATTGCACGTATAAAGAAAAGCTAATGTTTCTATTTTTCATATATAAAAATGTGTACAGTATATATGTACAATATAGTCGAGTAATAATATATTTTTACTTCGTCATTACATTTTTTTATAGTCTATTTTATTTTATACTATTTATGATTTTTTAATTTTTATTTCTAAATCTCAATGAAAGTTTGCATAAACATTATAAATATTCAAAGTAATATAAAAAGATTGAGATTTTTATCATTATTTTTTAATTATTATTTTCTTTACTAAAGACCCAACACAACATCATATATTTCCATAACAGCGTGAGTTGAAACATTCCCAAGTAAGAGGATAACATTAAATGACGTTTCGAAAACGTATTGATGATGTCTCTAACGTTAATACATCATTTGATGTTATCATGTATGTTTATGAGGCTTACATTTCAAAGTGGAATAACTGTAAAATCTTAATTTACAATATGCTCTTCGTTTTTTGTTCCTTGTTCTTTTTCTACTTTAAACCTTGAGATTTGAGTCAGAAAGAGATAAAGAAAAAGAAACAGGAAGAGAGAAAGAAAGGAAACAAAGGGAACATTGTATATTAAGTTTCAATCTAGACTCTGAATCGATATCAAATTTGTTTGTGATCACTTTTAAATTCAACGTGTAAAATAATCTGTACCTTTTTCCAAATTACTTTATTATATTTTAGATACGAGTAATACATCCTTAATTGGAGTGCCAATGTTAAAAGTCACGAAATTTTATTTTTAGTTAATAAATTTATGAAAATAAAAAAATATTGGACTATTAGGAATATCTTAAGACAGAAGTGAAGTCAAGAGAAACGTCAGCTTGCAACAAATCTTATGTTCAATAGGGGACGAATTTATTCTTCAGTCATACAGCTCGACCCTGTAACGATTGAGTTTATATCACAGTGTGTTTTTGTAAAATAAGAAAGTAAGATGGATGAAAGCACACACACATACACACTTAACTTTCCGACGTTTATGTTTATTTGCTCAATATCTATCGTTCCGTTTTTGAGTTCCGAGAAATATAAGAACCATAGAAGAAGGAGGACATACTAGGTGGCGGCGGGACGCCGTTCGAGATCTGCGTATCTTTTCGTTCCAGAGAGAGAAAAATATCTAGAGCACAGTTTTGCTAGGCCGGGACTCGAAACCCGGGTCTTTCGCTTGCCGGGCGATTGCTCTAAACCACTGAGTTATCTGACGCCTCGTGAAAAACATGTTAACGTCGAGATTACCTCGCAGCAAATCGCTATCGATACGAATAGAGCCAGAATGTAAAGAACGAAATCTCATAAATAGCAATAATCCTGCAATCCGTCTTAAACATATCCGCGTGAATGCCAAACACTTGAGATTTCCTTTTCTATCTCCAACCGTTTCGTAATCGATATAACACACCGACGTGAGAACAAACATTAATTTTCTCGCAATCCAAACATTTCTGTTGAGACACAATTTCGTGTGTAACGGCTTTAACGTCAGACCTAACGGTCAAGTGAAAGAAGTGATTCCTACAATTATGCGGACCGCGCTATACAACATATACGTGTGTAACTATCGTCGATTTACAGTGAAGAGTACATTCTACATGAGTGAAGTATCGCTCGGATTCGAGTGATTTAGTAGTCACTCTGCTTCTTGAGTAAAAGCTTTATTCGAAGAAATTTAGAGAGTATTGTCCGGCTTGATCGGTCATTCTGCGATCTAGGTTGATCGTCGTGTTTCGTCCACTGGCAGGTGTCTCAGCCGACTCTGTAAGAGATAACAACTCGCAAGCCCTCCATAATCGTCTCGAAGATGTATCGTGCCGCGTTAGACGGCGGATTGAAGATCATTAGAATTCAAGCAAGTTTCTAGACTAGAAGAATTGCGTGTTTCAAACTTGAAAAGTTATTCAGAAGTATAGTAGTGAATTATTGCAAATCATACTTGATAGTGATCGCAATGTGAATATGTATAGCTGACACTTCTTGCGATTTGGTGTGTGTGTGTATGTGTGTGTTGAATTCGCCAAAACCTAATTGATAGTATGTCATACTTATGCTAGATCGACAGCTAAGGAAGATCAATATTCTCCAAAAAAAAGAACACGAGAGATGTGATGGCGATAAAAAGATCAGCAGTGGAAGAAGGAGAAAGAGACGAAGTCAAAATTCGATTTTCGTTTCTATTTGGGCCGGACCGACGTGTGTAACAATCGGCTTTCCTCCTTTTTATCGAGAAGCAATTATAATAAGCGTTCTTGTTAATCGTGATAAAATATTATCATAAACATTCAATTTGTGTTCTCCATTCGTGTCGCTTCGTTTAAACGTGAGCACGAATATGTGTGTGTGTGTCGTGTATACGCGAAAACCGCAGACTTTATCGATGAGATGACGCACAATGGATGAGATTTTCGATAAATCATCCGATATCATTTAAAAGCTGTTCATAGATTGTATTGTTAATGACAGCAGGATCGGATTTAGCGGTTCGTCGCTTATAGACACATGAATAGTGACTAGATCGGGACTTTTAAGAGTACGCGAAATTAAAAATTGTTCTAGCTCAAATTTACTAAATAATCTTCACATAAATATGACAAATGTCGATAAAAAATCACACACACACACACACACACACGCACACGCACACCAACACATACACACACACACATATATATATATTTATGTATATACATATATATGTGTGTCTGTGTATACACGTTGCAAAAGATCGTAAGAATATTCTTGAAAAATTAGGTAAATTTGCAATTTAATTGAAAATACAATTTGACAAAATTGGGATTCTTGTGATAAAATTATATTGCACATTAGTGAGTAATGTCTTACTCATGACGTCGCGGTTTTTATTGTAGGAACAATGTTTTATTCACTAGTAATAATCTATTAAATTATTGTGCTCTATTTTTTATATTCTAGATTTTAGCCTATATTTTTCATCACATATGACTATCGATAAAAAAAATCGAGCTTATATTGAATATATATAAAAAATATCCTCATTTTCAAAAACTCTTTAAAATGTCGATACTCTTCTTATTTTCTTGTGATAAAATTTCATAATGATATAATTCGCACTACTTATAGTTGCTGGTAATACCAAAAGAATAATTTAAATTGAAAGAACAAAAAAATTATTAAGAAAGTAGAAATAATTTTTATTTTTCTCGTGAGATATAATAAAGTAGATGTGTTCATGATATCTGACTGAATTATCGTATCAATGCTTATGTACAGATAGAACATATCAAGTGGAACAGAAAAGTGTTCTACTATTTTGCAAATAACCACGACAATTATTGAAACAGCCCAGATAGCCAACTGCTGTCAATTTTATCGACAGCAGTTTGGTAGTAGAAATACAACAGGATTTGCCAGCAGTAAAAGCTGCTGCGGCAAGAATCTGTGTGATAACTAAACCTCGTTATAACATATAAATACCTAAAGATACAGTTGCCAGTAAACACATATTTAGCTGTGAAATCAATATAATAGCAGCAACTGCAAAAATTTGAATTGTAGCAAATCTATAGTTTTAATAACAAATATATTTTGAGCAAGTAATGATCAGTTACAGCAGAGAATTTTTTTTCTGTAACTGTGCAGATCCTGGTTTATATCGCTGATCTGCTGTCAAGTTATCTCAGCAGACTCTATCGACAAAACGCGAGTTTAACGCAGCCACAGATGACTCTACACTGCCATAACATTCTCATCAAATCTGCTACCAATCTCATAACGTATTATGAATGTTTGGCTTATCAGGGTTTGATTTTTTTTCTTCAGAGTGCCCCGCACTGCACCGCGCGCTCCCTAATTTGTTAATCTTCTTCAATTAATATCTCAATAATTATCGTGGTTGTTTAGCACAAAATAGCATACTTTTTCAGTTTGTTGAGTTCCATTTGCATATGAGCGTTAATAATTGTGAAACATTATGTATACATGTCACGTGTTGTGTGAAGCACAAGTACAATGTATATTGTACTTGTATATTAAAAATTAACAATATCCGATTAGAAACCATAATTTGTGAAGACTGGGATAAAAAGATAGTTGCAATCATTCTCTTCGCGAGCGACTGAAACGGTTCAAAAAAACCATTTAGACTGTGAAAATTATTTAGTATAATTCGTCGAAGTTGAAATTACATTCAAACAAAGAATACATCGATGATAACGCAGTAAAGAGTAGATAAAATTACGTACGAGTATAAATAAGGGAGAAATGTGGCTGCAAAAATCGGTACCTTACGCGAAGAAAAACAGAAAAAGAAGCTTTCAAGCAGGAAAAAAAACAGTGATTTGTTATAACTAACTAGCCTTAAACTTGTGTCGAAATCGAAAACGGCTCGCTTTGTGAAATTCACTGTTTTTCCCATCAATACTATTAAACTTGGTTAGTTTTTAAGATAGTTTTTACTCAGCATTTACCCTTTATTTTTTCTCTCACGTAAGAGACATTAGTTTAACCGTCATTGTTTGCATTTATGGTTACGTAGCAAATGTATTCTAATCTCAATGGTAGAGGGTTTTACAATTGAACTATCACTTAATGCTGTTAGGAAACACTGTTATAAGGATACTATAGGAAGCCATATTATAGGGAGTGTTGAATGTATGATCGAAATGCTACACCGAAAATGGGAATAGGGGAAATTGTAATCGAGCTGAGGTGATGGGAAGAATCGCGACGTGTCGTTGAAAGGTTCCTTTCGCTAAATTCGATTTTGTCGGCAAGAAAAAACAAAAATTCTGTGATAAGTTGACTAATTCTCTCGTATATTCGGACGTTAATTCTTTCGTCCCTGAATATAATATATTTATGGTACACTTATGTCTACCACTCGGGACGAAAGAGTTAAGTGGACATTCACCGAGGCCTTAGTTGCATCTGACCCCGTTTACGGCGCGTTTTATTGTAGTTTATTATAATTTTATTATAATCACTATAAATATATATTGCGCGACATACATAATAAAATTATAATTGATATGCATGGTCGAATATGATGTTTTACAACCTCTCTAATACTAGTCACGGCACCTTCGAAATAAGAATAGTTCGTGTGGCAGCTACTACTTCGCTCGAAGATACGATCGAAGATATCACTCGAAGACTTAGAAACTCACCATGCCGAAGAAAGAGAAAGCGAGAGGAGATAAAGAGAGAGACGTGAAGAAATACGCAATAACGCAACTACTGACGCCATTCCCTTTATATCTTCACGATCCACAACTATCGACCCTCACCGTCAAGCATATTCTCGACATTCACCCACGGATTTATTGAACCATATAAAGTAAAATATGTGAGAATTTTCTGAACTTGCCGCACACACAAACGTGTCCCATCTCTCCGCAAACTGTCAAAACTAACCATTCTATCAGTCACTTCTATTGAGTTTGTACGATCCATCTTATTTTTTGTTTTTTTTTGAGTGGAACCTACCCATCTACCGAAGACAAAGAGTATAGAGTCGGAAACACAGCAGCTGATGCGCGGGAATGACACATCGCGAAGATGAAATTCTCGCCGAGCACAGCACCGGGTATGCATTAATGATACTACGAATTTTACTTTCAGGTCAAATCAAGAGGGACATGCTCGCACGCAAATTGCTGAAGCCATATCGCTGCTCGCAATGTAACAGACGATACGCCACTAACGGCTCCCTCAGCCGTCACATACGGGACCAGTGTCAGAAAAAACCGCAGTTCAAATGTCAGTACTGCCACTACGCATCCAATCAAAAGTGCAACTTGGAGCGACACATTCGGACACGTCACTAATATCCTCTGTGATTTCGTAATCTTGGAAAGTAATCGATTCATGGATCGTCGACGTGATGACTGCACGATTTCAACTAATTGTCAATCATTGACCTGACCGAATTTTGGTTTGCGAATATGACTTATATATTTTTTTTTATGTGTTTTTTAGGCCCGAGATCTACGACAAGCGACGTTTTTATTAAGATTTTCTCGTACTGTTGACAATTTGGATAAATATGATGATATCGAGAATATCTACGGCGATTGAACGCCATTCTATGTTTGTTGAAATGATTGAACTAGTGTTCTCGAATCACAGTTGACTGATACACTCCCGACATCAAGAGTAGATTTATGGAAATTTTTACACTACTTTGTAAAAAAAGCATAATATCTGTTGTTCATTGTTGCTCAATGATAAGACGAGATAAGACGACTTTTTGATATTGTTATGTAGTGATTTAATAGTAATTGGCATTTTTACATCTCTACGGTAGTTATCAAAGATGTATTGCCCGTATTCGCGGAAAATGCCACTGAAAATTAGAAATATACTAACACTCCCATTTTCTACATATAAAAATATATACGATATATGTGTATAATACAGTCAAATAATGACATATTTTTACTTTATCATCACATTTTTATAGACTATTTATTTTATACTATTTATAACTTTTAATTTTTATCTTTGAATCACAATGAAAGTTTGCATATATATTTTAAATATTCAAAGTATATATAAAAAGATTGAGATTTTTATCATTATTTTTTAATTATCTCTTTTCTTTTATTAGAAACATAGCAACAACATATATTTCCATAACAGCGTGGGTTGAAATATTTCTAAGGATAATATCAAATAACGTACTGATTACGCATTGATGACGTCTCTAACGTTAATATATCATTTGATATTATGTTTACTAGGTTTATATTTTAAAGTGGGTTAACTGTAATCTTAAATAATAATCATAGGTTAAATCTTAATTTACAATGTGCTCTTTACTGCCTGTTCCTTGTTCTTTATTTCTTTCCTAGCTTGATTCCTTAAGGTTTTACTCAGAAAGAGATAAACAGGAAGAAGCAGGGGATAAAGAACACATTATAGATCAAGCTTTATTCTAGACTCTGTCTGAATCTTAATTGTAATCATTTTAGATACAACATGTAAATTAATTTGTAGCTTTCTCCAGATTTTTTCATTATTTTCGAGATACGAGTAATACGTCCTTAATTAACGTGCCAATGTTAAAAGTTAAAAAAATTTTATTTTTATTTAATAAATTTATGAAACTAAAAAATTTGATTATTAGGAATATCTTAAGACAGGTGTAAAATCAAGAAAAATATCAGCTCGCAACGGATCTTATGCTCAAAAGTGGACGAGTTTACCTTTAGGCGTACAACTCGATCGTATAATAATTGAGTTTATATCACAGCGCGTTTTTGTAAAGTAAGAGAGATAGACGGAAGCATACACACACACACACAATCAACTTTTCGACGTTTATGCTTACTTTCTCGATATGTATCGTTTCGCTTTTGAGTTCCGATAGCGTGAAACACGTCGAGATTACATCGCAGAAAATCGCTAACGATACGAATAGAGCAAGGATCTACACGACGGAATCTTATAAATAGTAATAATGTTACTAACAGCAATAGTAATATTTCTGTGCCACTATAAGACAATCGTTTAACATATATGAACAAACGACCCGTCTTAAACTTATCCGCGTGAGTGTCAAGTACTTGAGATTTCTTTTTTTATCTCCAACGCGTAACCGCTTCGTAATCGATACGGCGCACTGACATGAGAACAAACACTGATTTTTCTGCAGTCCAAAGGTTTATGTCGAGACACAATTTCGTGCGTAATGGCCTTAACATAAAAACTTTCTAATGGTCAAGCGAAAGAAGTAATTCCTACAATTGTGCGGACTGCTGCACATAAATACCGTGTAAAAGATTCAAGTTTTCTATATAATTTACATTCTGAAAAAATTTCTCTACAATTTTGTGTTTTCGTATTATTAACGGTTAAAGTAAAATTGAGTATTTTGACTTCGGTTGCTCATGAGTCCATTAAACTTCATTGCACAGCAATACAGAAAATGAATGGTAAACATACACTTTAACTTACCCTTCAGCAATGATTTTCCTATTTATATATATACTAGAGGCTACTTTCCTAAGTGACCTTCTGAACGTTTTAGCCGTTGCTTGATCTTTGTTAAAAAATTATTAACAAAAGAAATTACATAGATAAAATATAGATTTCTTCACTGTATACATAGAATTGCTTCAGTTTGTAGATAGAAACACATCACACACACGCAGAATGTAATAGAATTACACTTTACTTATAAAATTTGAAATTTAATAGGAACATACGCTCGGGCCAGCGGGGGAGTGTGTGTGTGTGTGTGTGTGTACATGTTGCAAATTCTTGTAAAAATATTTTTGAAAGATTAGTTAAATTTGCGATTTAATTGAAAATACAATTTGACAAAATTGGAATTCTTGTGATAAAATTGTATTGCACATTACGTAACATTTACTTATAACTTATTCTTGAAAGATTAGGTAAATTTGCAATTTAATTGAAAATACAATTTGACAAAATTTGAATTCTTGTGATAAAATTGTTTTGCACATTACGTAAGTAACATTTACTTATAACATCGCGGTTTGTTTTTATTGTAGGAACAAAGTTTTATTCACTAGTAATAATCTATTAGATTATTGTGCTGTATTTTATATATTTTACATTTTAGTCTATATTTTTCATCACATATAACTATCGATAAAAAAATATCAAGGTTATATTAAATGTTATATATAAAAATCATCCTCATTTTCAAAAACTCTTTAAAATATTGATACTTTTCTTCTTTTCTTGTGATAAAATTTCTTCTTAATGATATAATTCGCATTACTCGTAGTTGCTAAAGAGTGATACTAATGATGCTAGTGATACTAAAAGAATGATTTAAATTGAAAGAACAAAAAATTACTAAAGAAATAGAAATAATTTGTATTTATCTCCTGAGATATAATATAATAAAATAGATATGTTAATGATATCTGACTGAATTATCAATGCTCGTGTACAAATAGAACATATCAAGTGAAACAAGAAAGTGCTCCACCATTTTGCAAACAACCACGATAATTATTGAAACATCCCAGATAACCGACTGCTGTCAATTTCATCGGCAGTTTGGTAGCAGAAATACAACAGGATCTGCCAGCAGTAAAAGAGAATTAGCTGCTGCGGCAAGAATCTGTGTGATAGTTAAACTTCATTATAGCATATGAATAACTAAAAATACAATTGCCAGTACATATTTAGCTATGGAACTAACATAATAATAACTGCAAAAATTTGGATTACAGTAGCAAATCTATAGTTTTAATAACAAATATATTTTGAGCAAGCAATGATCAGTTACGGCAGAGAATTTTGTTCTGTAACTGTGCAGATTCTACCTAGTTTATACCGCTGCTCTACTGTCAAGTTATCTCAGCAGATTCTATCGACAGAACGCGAGTTTAACTTTGCATTTGTCACAATATTCTCATCAAATCTACTGCCAATCTCACAACGTATTATGAACGTTTTGCTTATCAGGGTTTGATTTTTTTTTCTTCAGAGTGCCCCGCACTGCACCGCGCTCTCTCTAATTTTTTTAATCTTCTTCAATTAATATCTTAATAATTACCGTGGTTGTCTAGCATAAAATGGCACTTTTTCAGTTTGATGAGTTCCATTCGCATATGAGCGTTAGTAATTGTGAAACATTATGTATATATGTCACGTGTTGTGTGAAGCACCTTGTATATTACAAATTGACAAAATCTGATTGTAAGCTATAATTTGTGAAGACTGGGGTAAAAAGATGGTTGACATCATTTTCTTCGCGAACGACTGAGACACTTAAAAAAAACCACTTAGAGACTGTGAAAACTTTTTAGTATAATTCGTCGAAGTTGAAATTACGTCCAAACGAAGAATTCATCGGCGATAACGCAATAAAGGGTAAATAAAATTATGTACGAGTATGAATAAGGAAAAAATATGATTGCAAAAATCGGTACCTTACGCGAAAAAAAAGGGGAGAAAGAAGCTTTCAAGCGGAAAAGAAAATAGTGATTTGTCATAATTAACTAGCCTTAAACTTGTGTCGAAATCGAGAACGGCGCGCTTCGTGAAATTCACTGTTTTTTCCCATCAATAGTATTAAACTTGGTTAGTTTTTAAGATAGTTTTTACTCAGCATTTATCCTTTGTTTTTTTCTCTTACGTCACGTAAGAGACATTAGTTTAACCGTCATTGATTGCATATATGGTTATAGTAAATGTATTGTAATGTCAATGGTAGAGGGTTTTACAATTGAACTATCACTTAATGCTGTTAGGACACACTGTTATAAGAATATTATAGGAAACCAGAATGTTGAATGTATGATCGATATAGTGCTACACTGAAGATGGAAATGGGGGAAATTGTAATCGAGCTGAGGTGATGAGAAAAATCACGACGTGTCGTTCCTTTCGCTAAATTTGATTTTGTCGGCAAGAAAAAACAAAAATTCTGTAACAAGTTGACTAATTCTCTCATATATTCGGACGTTAATCTTTTCATACCTGAATATAATATATTTATGGTACATCTATGTCTACCACTCGGGATGAAAGAGTTAAATGGATATTCACCGAGGCCTTAGTTGCATCTGACCCCGTTTACGGTGCGTTTTATTGTAGTTTATTATAATTTTATTATAATCACTATAAATATATATTGCGCGACATATACATAATAAAATTATAATTGATATGCATGGTCGAATATGGTGTCTTACAACCTCTCTTACACTAGTCACGGCATCTTCGAAATAAGAATAGCTCATGTGGCAGCAACTACTTCGCTCGAAGATACAATCGAAGATATCATTCGAAGACCTGGAAACTCACCATGTTGAAGAAAGAGAGGGCGAGAGGAGATAGAGAGAGAGAGACACGTGAAGAAATGAGCAATAACGCAGCTACTCACACCATTCCCTTTATCTCTTTATGGCCCACAACTATCGACCCTCATCGTCAAACGTATTCTCAACATTCACCCATGCTCTTGCGAATTTATTGAACCATATAAAGTAAAATGTGTGAGAATTTACTGAGCTTGCCGCACACACAAACGTATCCCATCTCTCTGCAAACTGTCAAAACTAACCATTCTATCAATCACTTCTCTTGAGTTTGAACGATCCATCTTATTTTCCGTTTTTCTTAAGTGGAACCTACTCATCTAACGAAGACAAAGAGTCGGGAACACAGCAGCTGATGCGCGGGAATGATACATCGCGAAGATGAAATTCTCGCCGAACACAGCACCGGATATGCATTAATAATACTACGAATTTTACTTTCAGGTCAGATCAAGAGGGGCATGCTCGCACGCAAATTGCTGAAGCCATATCGCTGCTCGCAGTGCAACAGATGCTACGCCACTAAGACCACCTACAACCGTCACATACGGAACGAGTGCCAGAAGGAACCGCAGTTTAAATGCTGGTACTGCCACTACGCATCCCATCAGTACTGCAACTTGCAGCGACACATACTAAAACGTCACTAATATCCTCTGTGATTTCGGAATCTTGGAAAACAATTGATTCACGGATCGTCGACGGCGTCACGTGACGACTGCACGATCCCTACTAATTCTCAATCTTTGACCTGTCAAAGACCTGTCAATTTTTGTTTGCGAACATGACTTATATATCTTTTTTTATGTTTTTAGGCCCGAGATCTACGAGAAGCGACGTTTTTATTAAGATTTTCTCGTGCTGTTGACAACTTGGATAAACATGATGATATTGAGAATGTCTACGGCGTTTAACGCCATTCTATGTTTGTTGAAATGATTGAACTAGTGTTCTCGAATCACGACTGACTGACACACGTCCGACATGAAGGGTAGTTTTGTTGAAATTTTTACACTACTTTGTAAGAAAGCATTATGTCTGTTATTCATTGTTGCTCAATGATAAGACGAGATAAGACGACTTTTTGATATTATTATCTAGTGATTTAATAGTAATTGACATTTTTACATGTCTAGGGTAGTCATCAAGGATGTATTGCTCGTATTATCGCGGATAATGCTACTGAAAATTAGAAAACATATTTTTGTTTTATCATCACATTTTTATTTTATACTATTTATAACTTATTAATTTTTATCTTTGAATCACAATGAAAGTTTACATATACATTTTGAATATTCAAAATATATATATTAAAAGATTGAGATTTTTATCATTATTTTTTAATTATCTCTTTTCTCTTACTAGAAACACAGCACAATATATATTTCCATAACAACGTGGGTTGAAATATTTCTAAATAGAATGGATAATATCAAATGACGTACTGATGACGCATTGATGACGTCTCAAACGTTAATGTCATTTGACATTATCATGTCTATATTTTAAAGTTGGTTAACTGTAAATCTTAATTTACAATGTGCTCTTTGCTGCCTGTTCCTTGTTCTTTATTTTTTTCTAGCTTGATTCCTTAAGATTTAAGTCAGAAAGAGATAAAAAAGAAGAAACAGGGGATAAAGAACACATTATAGATCAAGCTTTAATTTAGACTGTGTCTGAATCTCAATTGTTATTACTTTTAGATATAACGTGTAAATTAATCTGTAGCTTTCTCCAGATTTTTTCATTATTTTCGCGATACGGGTAATACGTCCTTAACTGACGTGCCAATATTAAAAGTAAAAAAATTTTACTTTTATTTAATAAATTTATGAAACTAAAAAATTGGGTTATTAAGAATATCTTAAGACAGAAGTAAAATCAAGAGAAATATCAATTCGCAACAGATCTTATGCTCAAAAGGGGACGAGTTTACCTTTTATTTTAGGCGAACAACTCGATCGTACAGTGACTGAGTTTATGTCACAGCGTGTTTTTGTAAAGAAAGATAAACGGAAGTATACACACATACACAATCAACTTTTCGACGTTTATGCTTATTTTCTCGATACATATCGTTCCGTTTTTGAGTTCCGATAGCATGAAACACACGTCGGGATTACATCGCAGCCAATCGCTATCGATACAAATACAGCAAGAATGTATACGACGGAATCTTATAAATAGTAATAATCTTACTAATAGAGCAATAGTAATATTTCTGTGCCACTGTAAGACGATCGTTTAGCATATATGAACAAACGACCCGTCTTAAACTTATCCGCGTGAGTGTCAAGTACTTGAGATTTCTTTTTCTATCTGCAACGTGTAACTGGTTCGTAATCGATATAGCACACTGGCGTGAAAACAGACATTGATTTTCCTGCAATCCAAACGTTTGTGTCGGGACACAATTTCGTACGTAATGGCCTTAACGTAAAAACTTCTAACGATCCAGCGAAAGAAGTGATTCCTACAATTGTGCGGACCGCTATACATAAACCGCTACATATACCGTATAAGATTGACGTTTTCTATACAATTTACATTCTGAAAAAATTTCTCTACAATTTTGTGTTTTCGTATTACTAACGATTAAAGTAAAATTAAGCATTTTGACTTTGGTTGCTCATGAGTCCATTAAATTTCATTGTACAGCAATATAGAAAGTGGATGGTAAATATCAGGGTTGGGAAGTAACGCGTTACTTGTAACGACGTTACTATTTCGTTACTTTTTTTTGGTAACGATTTGGTAACGTTACTTTTTTGTATCAGTAACGAAAAAGTAACGACATTACATTTTCTGTAATAACGAGTAACGAAATTCATCGTTACTTGTATTGCTACTTTTTTACTATAGTGACTTCTGTACACAGAACGCGGCAACGCTTGTCACGCGACGAAAGTTTGCACACGATAAACAATTAATGTGCTGCTTTCCGTAAAGCCCATTCTACAATAAGCAATAAATCTTAAGTCATAATAAAATTGATCAATTATAGTCGACTATTAGAAAAATAATCCACTGTAATAAGTCAATTTTATTGCGACTTAAAACTTATTGCTTATTGTAGAAAGCCTCTAAAGCGTCATCTACAATGAGAACTTAAGCCATAAAATTAAGTTTTAAGCTCTAAACCGTAAGAACCGTAAGAAATTGACTAGTCAATTATTTTTCTTATAATTGACTGTGATTGATCAACTTCTTACGGCTTAGGACTTAAAGCTTAAATTTTATGGCTTAAGTTCTCATTGTAGACCATGCTTAAGGGGCGCCGCACACACAATTGACATAACGTAAGACGTACCGTAAGAATTGACCAATCAATTTGAGTATCGTCGAACCGTAAGGTTGCCATTTTTGTGAATACTCGATTGTAATTGGTCCATTTTTACGGTACGTCTTACGTTACTGTTATGTCAATTCGTGTGCGGCGTCCCTAAAGCCCATTCTACATTATCGCAATCGCAATCGCAAGATCGCAAGGAAATTGACCAATCGTAATTGATTATTCTTCGATCGTAAGAAGAACAATCGACTATGATTAGTCAATTTCTTTGCGACCTTGCGATTTGCGACTAATGTAGAATGGGCTTTATGTTATGCAAGAATGTGTGCTGCCCGCTTAAATATCTTATATTTTGTCTTTATATATGTATAATTTATGTACTGTCTCTCTTATTACTTGTTTTATAAGCCGATTTTAACTTTTTTTTTTTACAAAAGTAATGGAAAGTAACGATTTTTTTATCGTTACTTTTCAAATAACAGTAACGCGTTACTTTTTAGAATCAGTAACAAGTAACGGTAACGAGTTACTTTTTACCGCAAGTAACGGTAACGGTAACGCGTTACTTTTAAAAAGTAACGTTCGCAACTCTGGTAAATATGCACTTTAACTTACCCTTCAGCAATGACTTTCCTATTTACATATATATTGGAGGCCATCTTCCTGAGTGACCATCTGAACGTTTTAGCCGTCGCTTGTCCTTTGTTAAAAAATTATTAACGAAAGAAATCACATAGATAGAATATAGATTTCTTCACTGTGTACATAGAATTGCTTCAGTTTGTAGATAGAAACACATCGCACACGTAAAATGTAATAGAATTACATTCTACTTATAAAATTTGAAATTTAATAGGAACATACGCCCAAGCAGGCGGGCAAGCAGTGTGTGTGTGTGTGTATGTATATATATGTATACATGTTGCAAAAGATTGTAAAAATATTCTTGAAAGATTAGGTAAATTTGCAATTTAATTGAAAATACAATTTGACAAAATAGGAATTCTAGTGATAAAATTGTATTACACATTACGTAAATAACGTCTTACTTATAACGTCGCGGTTTGTTTTTATTACAAGAACAAAGTTTTATTCATAGTAATAATCTTTTAGTAATAATCTATTAGATTATTGTGTGCTATTTTTTATATTCTATATTTTAGTCTATATTTTTTATCACATATGACTATCGATAAAAAAAATATCGAAGTTATATTGAATGTATATAAAAATCACTCACATTTTCAAAAATTCTTTAAAATATCGATACTTTTCTTCTTTTCTTGTGATAAAATTTCTTCTTAATGATATCATTCGCATTACTTATAGTTGCTGATACTAAAAAAATGATTTAAATTGAAGAGACAAAAAGTTACTAAAGAAATAGAAATAATTTTTATTTTTCTCATGAGATATGATATAATAAAGTAGATGTGTTCAAGATCTGACTGAATTATCAATACTCGTGTACAGATAGAACATATCAAGTGGAACAGGAAAGTGTTCCACCATTTTACAAACAACCACGATAATTATTGAAACATCCCAGATAACCGACTGCTGTCAATTTCATCGAGTTTGGTAGCAGAAATATAACAGGATCTGCCAGCAGTAAAAGAAAAATTAGCTGCTGCGACAAGAATCTGTATGATAGCTAAACTTTGTCATAACATATAAATACCTAAAAATACAGCTTCCAGCAGGTACATATTTAGCTATGGAACCAACATAATAGCAGCTGCAAAAATTTGGATTACAGCAGCAAGTTTACAATTTTAATAACAAATATATTTTGAGCAAGTAATGATCAGTTACGGCAGAGAATTTTTTTCCTGTAACTATGCAGATCCTACATGGTTTATATCGCTGCTCTGCTGTCAAGTTATCTCTGCAGACTCTATCGACGGAACGCGAGTTTAACGCAGACACAGCATCTGTCACAATATTCTTATTAAATCTGCAGCCAATCTCACAACGTATTATGAACGTTTTGCTTATCAGAGTTTAATTTTTTTTCTTCAGAGTGCCCAGCATTGCACCGCGCGCTCTCTAATTAGTTAATCTTCTTCAATTAATATCTCAACAATTATCGTGGTTGTTTAGCACAAAATGACATACTTTTTCAGATTGATGAGTAACATTCGCACATAAGCGTTAGTAATTGTGAAACATCATGTATATATGTCACGTGTTGTGTGAAGCACCTTGTATATTATAAATTGACAAAATCCGATTGGAAGATAATAATTTGTGAAGACTGGGATAAAGAGATAGTTGACATCGTTCTCTTCGCGAGCGACTGATATGGTTCAAAAAAACCATTTAGACTGTGAAAATTATTTAGTGTAATTCGTC